CTTTCTTGCCCATTCAGTCACATCTACTCATACTCGATAAACACTGGGCCCAATGGCTGTGGGAAACCCACAAACTCTTAGGCTGAAGGATGTGCCTCCCACCTCCTCCTTCCTAAGTGGGGGCCCAACTCTCCAGGAGAGTAAAGATGAGCTAGGCTCCAGGGTGGCCCATTCCTGCTTGCATGGCCTGGTCTTAGCACTGCAGCTGGAGCCCTTTGAGCATGTATTACAATCACCAAAATGTTATAGATTCCTTCCTGGGCCTCCATCCAAGCCCACAATCAACATTGAAGTTCACACATCTTGTCTTACATGTTGCTCTTACTTCTGGGAGGTTGCCAGAAGTAACCTGTTTCTCCAGCTTCTCATGCCTGTTTGGTGTACTGTGTCCGAGGACTGAAATAGAACTTGGGTTTCATGTCACCAATGTCATCTGTGTCTCAGCTTCTGTTCCTGTAAACCTGTGATCCATCCCTGAGCATGTCCTCCTTGCTCTGTGACACAGGCTATCCATGTGCCCTCCACAGAGTTGGGCTAAAGACTAAATGAGATATTGTCTGCCAAGGGCTGGACAGGTAGAGTAAGCCCTCAATAAACACTGTTCATCTTCGTCATTTTTCTGCTCACACAAGAATATTTAATGAGAGAGCTCACGGCCAATCAGGCAGAGAAGTAGCATTTATGTGACTGGGAAGGATATAAATATAGAAGGTAGGAGGCAGACGTTGGACATAGCTCAGGATAGTCAGCTAGTCAGGCGGTGGCTGTGGCCTTTCATTTCTTAGTGGCCCTCTCTGCTCCGAGCGCTGCCCTAAAGGGTTGCATTGTCTGTGGGCCACCAGCATGTAGCCTCCCAGCTCTGCAGCACTATTGAAGTTAAACTCTAGTCTGTATTTAAGGTGTCCTCTGGCTGGTCCCACTCGCTGTGACCCTGATACCTTGCATGGCTCAGTGGAGCACCTGCAGCCATCCATCCTGGCTGTGGCCTCAAGTTTAAAACCACCACATCTGCTGCTCACAGAGCCCTTTCTAGATGTGAACCCCTGTCCTTGCATGAGATGGAGTCAGCAGGATTATCACAGAAATTGCAACGTTGTGGGAAGGACAGCTTTTCCAGGTCCCCTTCCAAGCACTGGCTGCACCAATTGGAGGCTGCTAAGAGCTGAGTGAAAGCTGGCAAACCCGTGATGGGTACTCACGTCTCTCTTTCCTCAGTTGTGTTTAGAAAAATCTTTGCCAAAAAACAAAGTGTGCTGACACTTCCCAGAACTGCAGGAGCAGGCTTAGCTCGGTCCAATCCTGAATCAGTGGTCTCCCAAGAACAGAAAAAGAATGTACCCAACGAGCCCTTCTTATTCCTTCTCATGCCTGAATGCTCTAGAAATGCAGTGGAGTTAGCAGCACCTGCAAAGAGCAGAAGGATCAGTTGGATCAGAAAAGAGGCCCTTTTGTCCTGCCCACCACTCCCAGGCTGAGTGGTTGTGTGAGCAAGTGGAAGGGAAAGAAAATGCAAAAACCCTTCCCAGCAGGATCGATGGAACTGGGGCCATTGTACAGGGATTTTAAAAACACAAATTAAATGGTAAGAGACCATTTTGCTAGTATCCCAGGGAAATGCAAAAATGAGTCAGGCAAGGAAGAAGGAGAGAAAGCCTCCTAGGCCCATAGGACTGCACATGCAAGGGCACTGGTGATGAACAATACCCATGGACAAGTTGTGGAAGCCCCTGCTGCTGGTGTGCCTGGGCATAGCATGGTGGGACACAGGAGCAGGGCCCTGCATGGCAGACAAGGGCTTAACCAAGGTCCCCTAAGACAGGAGCCATCCAGGACAAAGGATCAGGTTAGATCTGCCTTGTCGCAGACCACATCTCAGGCTGGAAGATGGGGATGAAGGAGCCAAGTGACTCTCCTCTAGAAGTTTCCCAACTGGGTTGTCTCTTGAAATATTGTAGTGTCCTTTAAATGGGAGACTAATATTTCATCTCTAGATTTTTTAACTTCTGAACTGAAAAGCTAAAATTTTAAGCATTTTGGTGATTGCCTGTGTGGTACAACATATACAGGCTCTCACATCAAGGATTTCATCTTCCAGTCTCCTCGAGGTTCAGGGTGCATTTCATATGGAGCAGAATCTCAGAGAAGCAGTTCTTCCAGCAAGAACAATTTCCACTTTAAAAGCAGGGTAAAACCTGCTTGCTTGCTCCTATAATTACCTTTTAGTCCCCCAGAGTTTTTCTTGTCTCAAACAGATGAGATTCTGCTCCAATGTCCCATCAGTAGGAGACATGCCAGCTAAATGTGCCTTCAGGTTACTCAGAAGCTTGTCTTGCTGGAGCAGAAGCTGCTGGCCAGAGCCAGGCAGGTTTGACTGTCAGTCTGGAGACAGAATTCACTGCAAGGGAACCATAGTCCCTTCAAGTCAATATCACAAATTGGTGTGGTTTGCATTTATCATCATGGCTTACTTAGCAAACACAGACGCACTCTGAGAAATGTGTCATAGACAATTCTGTTCTTTGTGGCACACCATGAAGGCACTTATGAAGAGATATGTAAGTTTGAGATGCCTTTAGAGGCCAGTGTAAGTAGGAGAATGCTCTAGAGTGATAATGAAAAGTATTGTATACAATGTAAAACCAGTACCAAGGCATCGTCATTACCCTCAGGTATTGCCAGACATGCTGTGCATAACTGTAGAAATACGACTGACAGCACAGTAGCTGTGTTTGCACCAGCATGAGCACAGACTCATAGCACTACACTGTCTGCACCATGGTTTTTCCGCTCCCTTCACATCTTATCAACCCCATCACACACTGTTCCTTTGCTGACCAAAGCATTACTACGTCAACTGTTTTTAAGCTGGCAAAGTGCTAGAGTTATAATCCCAGATGCTCCTCCTTCTTATGGGATCTGATGGTGGCCTTGAATCTGTTAATCACCAGGAAGGAAAGAGTTCATAACATAACGATCTCTCTTCTGACTTCCTGCCTCGTATTCTCCTGTGCCATTGTGATTCTAGTTTCTATAGTGAAATATGAAAGTAATGCTAGGCTTCCAGGTGCACAAGAATTTTGTACAATAGGAAAACATTCTCACTGTTGCATTTAGAATCCTTTAATAGTTTGCGGAGGTTTAATGTATTGCTCAATGATTCCGTATGACATTTTGGAGATTCCTGAGTGATTGTATGGTATCAGACTCTTTTACTGTGATGTATACATCCTAAAGATACAACCATTAAGTATTTGATAATGATAGTAACCTAAATAAGAAACTTTAATAGGAAAAGATATCATAATTTTCTCCTTTATTTTCACACTCCGTAATTTTTATGATTTTTCAAACAAAGAGTAAAAATAGTTTTTAATGCTCGTAAATTACCCTAAGTCAAACAGCATAGAGCACATATTCATAAACATTTAAATCAATGGAAAGTTCTCCAAGTTTCTAATATAATAAAAATGACAGTATTGAAGCAATTACTTGGGAAACCTGGCAGGAAAAAAGTGAGCGAAGAAGACAGTTGGTAAAGTTGAATAACGGAGCACATTGCATGTTATGTACAGGATTCAGGCAAAGAAACCGCCCATGCCTGAATCTTCTAGGACATTGGTCAGACACCTTCATCCATGACCTCACATGCAGAGCTCCTTCACCTCGCTGACTTCGTGTCTGAGCCCCAGAAGCCAATAGCGGCACTTTCTCTGGGATAGTTCCCAAATAAGGGACTTTTCTTCTCCTGCTGAAGAGGCAGGTCTGTCTGACCACTGGAAATCAGGAAAGTTTCCCTTGGAAAAGTCTCCAACAGAGTGATACTCTGATCTGTGTGTCTGAGGAGTAAAGAGATTTGCAGAGTGCCAACCATGATCAGGTTGCCTCTTCTTGCCTCATCTTAAATAAACTTTTGAATAGCATTCAGGAAGATGTGCCTATTCGGTAATACACGAGTCCCTAGTGCTGCCTAAACAGAAAAAAAGCAGCTCCTGATTTATATCCCAATTCCTGATTTATAAGTTTTGCTGAGTCAAATAACACTAAAGAAATGATGGAAGTGAGTCACAATATATTATCATATTTGCATTATTAAAATTTAATATATATTTAAATAGTGGGGTTAAGATATATATATATATATTTTTTAAATCTGTAAACAAGAAGCATTTGACTCTAAATCCTGATTCAAGAGAAGAAGACATACTCAGATTTACAAAATAGGATTTTGTTCTGGATGAGAGGTGCCTCTGTTTCATGTCTTTCTTGTGAATGTCCACATTGAGAGCCAGTCACCTGCTCCCTCATCTATGTTCTCCTGGTTCGCATCTGTGCATCGTGTTGCTTGTGATTGTTCACTTCGACAGTAATTCTAGAATAGCATGTCGGCAGAGAATGGAGTATTCCAGGTGTTTGCTGCAAACCCCATGGTGTGTCCTTGTCCCCACAGGAGGATGCATGCATATGAAGTGCCCGCAGCCCCAGTGCAGGCTGAGTGGTGCTGGAACTGCGGCTGTGAGTGGAACCGCACTGCATGGGCGACCACTGGTTTGACGTGTAGCGGGTGCAACAGGGTACCAACCCCTGGCCGAGCCACCCTGGTGGGAACATGTAGTGCCTCACCTTCATTTGTCCCTCTTCTTCCAAATACATATACTCACACACGCACACACACACACACACACGCACACGGGCTACAAGTTCCTTCCAAAATCACAAAAGCCAAATTACAGAAGCTCCCAGATCCATTTTACTGCATCCACGAAGAAGAGCAGACAGTTCTGACACCAGCAAGAGGGTCTTTCAGGCCTCAAAATGATGCCAACAGCAGAGCACAGCTCAACGTGCAGCTCTGTATTTGGTAAAGATCACTGTCCTTGCAAGAATTCAAGTCAGGCAGGATCAGCCCATGGAGAGAGGTTTCCCAGGCTTAATCTCCTGCATTTTACTCTCATAAATACTGGCAAGGAGCCCCTGGCGAGGCAGGAAGTAGTTTGCTGGGGTTCCCTGCAAGATGGGCTGCTGTGGATCCTTAGGACTACAGCCACGGCTTGAAGAGCCCTGCTCTTATTTAATTTTCATCTATCCCCAGCGAGCCCCAGCAGTAGTCAAGAATATCCGTTTAGCCCCAAGTGTTCGATCTTTATAAATCATGCTGGTGAAGTACTGGTGATGCGTTCTCCAACTCCATGAGAGATTATGGAAGCTAATCAGAATGTTGGTTTTTAAATTACAGGGAAGAAAGCAAACTTAATATACTTAATATACTTTCACTCCATTGAATTATTTGCAACTTTAGAAAGAAATTATTTTCTGAAAATATTACAAAAACCTGTATCTGATTTTAAGTATTCATTTTATGGCTTGGAAATTTAGCTCATGCATTTGGCTTCACTATAAATTTAACAGATAAGGTGGCTTCAAAGGAGATGCTTTTAGAAACAATTTCAAGAAGTTAGTTCAATGTTAACAAAAATGCAGGTTATTGGGCAGAATCTTTATGAAAGGAGAACCTCCAGAACTCTCTAACTGACAACACCCTGACCCTCTCCGTTAGAAGGACAAGTGCCTTCCACAAATTCCCTTGCCCCCAGACTGCATATGTCACAGGGAGCCCGCACACCCCCTGACTGTAAGCAGTGTCCTTTGCATAGGACAGTAAACGCACTCTAGAATATTCCTCAGGGAAACATACATTGAATTTGAGTGTTGATTAAATTTTCAGCTTTTTTGGAGGCACTCATCAAAAACATCCTGTAAATACAATTCCCACCGCGCGTACCCTGCCCTTTGTTCTCACTGGCTCTGACCTCAGGGAGACAGAGAATGTAACTGAGGGCACCACCAGCATGTGACATCCCTTTCGAGACCTGGAAATTCCAAAATCTGTAACCAGGCCTCTCTTTTTAGATGTCGCCTTGCTGGTGAGAGGAGAGGGGGTGACCTCAGAATTTTCCAGGACATCTGTCCCTCTTTCCCTGCACTGCCTCAGCCAGTCCATTTCTCAGTAGTGGTTGGGACTTCCCGCCCTCTGCTCCCCTCAGAGGTGCCGCACTGGGACCCGAGGGATCTATCTAGGGCACCTGTTAGAAAACTCAGCTGTTCTATGTACCCCGTGGCTGCCAGACCCATGTCCTGAAACCAAAGACCATATCTCTAACAGCAAGTTCAACGTCTGGTAGTGTGAGGGACACAAAGGCCACCAGGCAAGAGCCCACGCATCCTGACAGCCCATGGCTATGCTGAGTCCTTACTCCAGCCAGCCTGAATTTGTGTCCCCAACAATCCCAGCCAATCCCAGCCTCTCATGCTGCCTGCAGTGACAAATCTGCTGGCTTCCACTTGTCGTGTGGAGTTCACAGCGTTTTGGATCATCCATAGCTTGTTCTTTTCCAATGCTACTTTCATTATTGCCTCCTTCCATATCAGCATGGTGTGTTGGGTTTATGAAGTTAGAATGAGGTTTGCTGCCATGAGTTGCAGGTACAGAGTCCTGGAGCCATGGAGCCATCCAGCATGGTCCCTTTCCTTTCTGGTGGCGGCCTTTTGGCTTTTTCAGAATAGAATAGTGATTCTTAAAATAAAGGGGGAAGGCCACTCTGTATGAACATGAGTCACAAACAGTATTATTTGAGCATGAATGGTATAACAAATATAAATAACAAAGGAATGGAATAAAATCTCTGCAGAAGAATCTATTTTTCTCTGAAATGTGTTAACAAATAACTGAGACTATGCCTGAGGTTTTACTCAAATTGCCAATAAAAGCATCAAAATGGCTTTTGTGTCTGTTCCTAAGAATGTATCTTCAAAAAACGTCGGTGGCGTGGGAGGGAAGAGCAGCCCAGTTTGCTCTGTGGGCCTCCCTTGCCCTCTGGAAGCATTCATTGCCGGTGACAAAGTGACCTTTTTAATCTCTGTTCCTAGCTCCTGATCAGCCTTGGTTGTTTCTCTGCCTTGAATTAGGGTAGCAAGATTTAAAAGCAAAGCCTCACACAGAAACGAGACAGTTACTTTCCCGCCCCACCAGCAAACTTGTCTGAATAAATGCTTAAAAGAGAATTTGCATTGGAAAGACCACTCATGAGGATTTTGTCGTCTTGCTGGGGTCAGTGATCGCACTGCTCTTGGGGTGGTCATGGGAATGCCACTTACAGTGCGCCCAGCTGGAGGGATCAGGAAGGCCAGGTCCCCCCATAGCCCTGTCAGGACAGCAGCTCGGGGTGGGCGGCCAAAGCGGGAACCCAGAGTCAAAGACCACAGGAGACACCAAGGAAATGCCAAGGCGGGGACGGTGTGCAAGAGCTGGGTACCGGGGTTGGAACCCCAACTCCACTGCACACCTGTGCTCAAGCCTTGGGCTCAGAACCAGCATCCACCTCACAGGGTCGTGGGCGAATTCATTGAATCAACTCCTGCAAATCACTCAGTGGCTAGAAATTGGAAATTCTCCACAGTGTTCACTGTTATCAAAGAAAGAACAGTCAGCAGAGACCACAGAACAGACCACCACAACCCGCCGAGGCCAAGCATCCAAATCACAGAGTCAGCGACTTCATGTGAGGGGCAGGTGACAATTCATGTTGGGTTGAAATGTGTCAGATTATCTTCCACACGGTCCCAGAAGTTCCCTTAAACTAGGTTGCTCTCTGGGTTTGCTGACTGGCTGCAGGGTGTGGATTAAAAAGAAATGAAGACACACATGAAGGAATTATGAGTATTTGAAAAGACATCTTTTAAAAGAAAATCCTGTCTCAAAATAGCACTGAGCCTGTCTTCATGTAACTCTCTGCAGAGAAAGTACCCAACCACAGTACTGAAGAATGGCAGCTGTCGTTTGAATAAGCACACAGAGTGTGGTCTGGAAAGACCTGCTTGCCACACAGACCAGGGCACTGACTAGAGGAACCCACCATGCTCCCTAACGTGATTCTCAACTGTGAAAATCAATTGCCACCATATCAAGAGATGTCTGGACCCCAGAGGACTGACTCACACTAACCCAACTCATAAGGTAATGAGGTATAAAAGCTAAAATGAGAGTTTACAATTTCTATCTACAATGAGCAGCTTACCTCTTGGTCTTCACACATGCTTTACTATCTGCCTAGAACCGCCCCTTTAACCAATTTTGCCGCCAGAAAGAGTTGGCCAGCACTCCCAGGCTGCATGCATCAGAGCATGAAATACACAGTGCTCTTATTTACTGAGTTCCAGCCTCCAGGGGACAGATAAGGAGAGCAGAGCTATGTACTTACCATCGTACACCAGCTCTATGCCTGGCACATCCCAGATCTGTAACAATGGGATTGCTGTTTTGAATTGTCAGCAATTCTACGTGGAAATCAAACTGTCATGGAAAGCTTGTGGAGTCTGAACTCAAAGCCATGGGACTCAGGTGTCCAATGTCATCGGCCCTGTCTCCTGCCAGGCACTCTAATTCCCATCACAAGGGTCAGGCTGGCAGAGGCTGGGCAACCTCAGGTTCAGGCAACCTTATCTTAAAGGCCCAAAGGCTTCTGTCCTCGACTCGCCCTCTCCCCAAGGTCACCTGTTACCTCCATTGCACACACCAAGGTGACTTCTGCTGTGTTTCTTTCCTAAACCTGGTTTGTTTCACCCACAATTCTTGGTTCTTAATTTCAAACTCAGAGAATGAATTACACAGCGTTTGTGAAGGATACTATTCAGCAGCAAATCACTACAGAGTTTATACATTTTCCTTACATTGTTCTTTTATTATAAAAATTATGTTATTTATGCTCAATGAAGAAATTTAAAAGGTGGATAAAAGAAAAATTTAAAAATCTATAAATAATTATTTTTTATTTGTACTTAAAAACATGGGATGTCAGCCAAGGTGTGGTTGTTCACACCTGTAATCTCAGCTACTTCAGAGGATCACAGTTTGAGGCCACCAAGGCAAAAAGTTAGTGAGAGCCCATCTCAATAAAATAAGCCTGGTGCAGTGTTACATTCTATAATTCCAGCTACTTGGAAGGCATTATAAAGGAAGATCTACAGGTCCAAAGCCAGCCCTAGGCAAAAACAAGACTTTCTGAAAAATAAAGCAAAAAAGATGGGACATGGTTCCCACGGTAGAACACTTGCCCAGCAAGTGGAAGACCCTGAATTTAAGCACCAGTACCACACACACACAAAATACACACACACACACACACACACACACACACACACACACACACATATCCGCTGTCAACAGATTTCTGAAATGACAGTGTATCAGGGCTTCATTATGTCTATATGGTAAGCCAGTTACTAAGTGTTCTTTTCAGTTTGCAGATCTGACCTAATCACTTAAATAACAACATAGTAGCCTGGAGTGGGATACAGTGTAATTCCAGTTCTTGGGCTGTTGAGATAGACTTTGATGAGTTCTAGATCAGTCTGGGCTACATACTGAAAGAAAACAAGTAGCAGTCATTTGAAAGTTTGAATATGGAAATGATTACATAACATGTAAAAATGTCTCCAGTAGGGATGGGTTTGTAGCTCAGTGGTGGAGCACTAGCCTAGCTTATGGGAGGCCCTGGGTTCCATTGCAAGCACCACACACACAAAAAAAATGTTTACAATATAATTTAAGGAATAAAGGAATTTCAGCAGAGTGCCAGTTGCCATGCCTGTAACCCTAACTACTTAGGTGGCTGAGATCAGCAGAATTGCAGTTCAAGCCAGTCCAGGCATATGGTTCTCCAGACCCCATTTCCAAAATAACCAGTGTAAAATGAACTGAAGGTGTGGCTCAAGTGATACAGTGCCTGCTTTGCAAGTGCAAATCCCTCACTTCAAACCTCAGTCCAGAGAGAGAGAGAGAGAAGAGTTTGCCAAAATTGTGTAAATACTACAACTGCAATTATGCAAAAAAAAAAAAAAAAAAAAAACTGCAAGGAAAGGTGTTTGAAGGCTTACTCTGAGTTTTTGAGTCCCTTCTGACACTTTATGTCCAAGACCTAACCCCCAAGGTGATGGTTTTAGGAGGTTATAGACCTCTGGGAAGTGATCAGGTGATTCAGGTAGAAGGCTCTTGAGTGGGATGAACGGCCTTCAAAGAGGCCATGTGAAGATGTAGAGGTCGAACAGGACACAGCGTGAAATCTGCTAGCACTTTGGTCTTGGGCGTCTGTCCTCCAGAACCAGGGTCAGTAACTGTTCTTCTCTACAAGCAGCCTGGTTTACAGGATTTTTTTAAGCAACCCAAATGTGCTAATACAC